TTAACCGCCTCGTGAAATTGATTTTCCCTCTTTGAGAAATTGGATTTAACGATTTTCCCTTGAATTTTTCCTTCCTCGGTTTTTTCTTTTTCTTCTTCTTCTTTTGTTTTTTTATTATGGAAACGTTTTAAAATTGCTTCTCTAAAGAACTTGCCGCTATCGAAAAGTATTGTTGAACAATTGAAATTCTTCATTTCCGAATTTTTTTACGCGTTGCGTTCTCTTTTTGTAGTCCCTTTCGACAGTCTTTTGAGTAATTGAAGATCAACGTTGCGTTAATGCGACATTTCATTTGCAGTTCTTTTCAATAGGTTCTTTTCATCGAATTTTATGAGAAACAGGCTTGTGCATCATTTGAATAAAATATTCGGAAGACGATTATTTAAGTGGTATGTCATCTTGTTTGACTCGTTAGCTTGAAATAATTTATTTGACCAAGCAAATGACTTTTCTCTAAATTATTTGGTTACTAAATGAAATAACTTTTTCTATTATATTTATTTCTACAAATAGTTTCTACTGAGATTATCTGTTATTATTTTATGCCAATGAATTAATTCAAATGAAAGATTATTTGGAAATGATTTTCTTGACTTAGACCTAAGATAAATTATTTTTCAAGAATAACAAATTAGTCGAAACGATCCATTTCAAATTGTCATTCTTGTTTTTCGTCTCTGTTACAAGTAAATTTTATTTCAAAAATCCTGGTGACAAGAAATTACAAAACGTTCGTTCAGCACTTCTATCTCCTATCTACGTAGATTTCATAATTTTGCAAATTTCAAAGGGACCGAAGTATTCACAGTGTTGTGATTAATTCTTCCCCGATCTTTAATTGAAGAGTTAATCTTTCAGAGGTTAGAAACTAAACAGCCCAGCGAGAATTTATTTTCCTCTCTTTTTCCTTCGCCAAGTTCAAATATCAATTATTACTTGGACTAATCTTTCTTGGAACAGTACGGTCTATCTTTGATGATACCGTGACAAGTGCAATTTTATCTTGGTGATCGTGAAAAATCGCTCGTGACTTCTCCATCTATTATTCAGAGATGAGAAGATAGCCAACAGGCATGGAACCAAGGAGATATTCTCCTTCTTAGTTCACCGTCGCGTTACTGTGCAATCTTATTTGTAGACATAAAACCAATACAGACACAGGTACACGTCTATTTTTGTAATTGCACAGTGGGACCTTGTACAATGCGTTGTACGTCTTAAGACGATAAAAAAATTGCTATAACGCGATTGCATAATTCTTTAACACTTCGAGTGGCTAAAAATTCTAACCAAAAGTCTGAAAGTTTCGTACGAGAAGCATTTTAACAAATTAAGAGTGCATCCATCCTTGAAAATAATAGGGTGTCCCACGTTTGTGATTTTACATGCAAAATTACTTTAACTTTAACTTTAAATTAAATTAATTCTTTGATTCTGATCAAAGAGCAAAAAATTTTCTCTATACGAGAAAATAAACGGAATGTAGAATACGTTTTACATTTCGTTTCTGAGAGAATTCAATTTGAAAATTTATCAAGTATTACGCATGAATTACAAAGCAATTTGTAGCAAAATGTATTCAAAGTTTATCTTCTCGAAAAAAATTATATTCCACATTTTTCGCTTGTCTTAATAAAACATTCAAAAACCCAGCGTTTCTACTTCCTTATTTTTATTTATAAAACAAGCTGACAAAGTTATGCGGAAAAAACTGGGACACCCTGTTATGTGTGCGACAGTAAATATTAGAGGAGCATATATCATTACATTGCCTTAAACGTACGAAGTGAATAAATAAGAGCAATATTTGCAATTGTTTGCCTTTTGCGCTTTATTGCAGACTTGACTCGTTTATCATATGCATATGTATTTTCGAACTGATCCGTATATCATACATAGTTATCGCACTTAAAGTTTATGCAGTTTTTATCAGTGTAATTTAAGAAACCGAAACTCAAGCAGAGCGTATTCACTTGTAACAGGTTCTTTTATCTATTTAAAATGTTTTATCTATTTAAAAATTTCTTAACTTTTTCAATCCCTGCTTACAACACACTCATTATACTTGTAACAATGTTATAACGATATTATAACAAGCATTCTACTTCCAATATTTTATATATTTTCATAATTTTTTATATTATAATTATATATATATAATATTATAAATATTATATATATTTTTGTGATTTTATATATTATAATATGTATTTACAGATTGGAAAGAAATATTTGGTTTTAGCTATCAGGTGAATTCTACACAGTTGCCACAAAATTGCCTTGGCTTTGAATTTCAAGGTGAAAAAATTTTTTTTGCTTACGTTTGTATTCTACTTTTCACCAAGATCAACCATGAGTCGCAGTCTAATCGTTCTCTTGAAAAATCCTGGCAGAGGACCAGAGAGACATTCGACAACCCTACTTGGACATGTTTGATCTTCGCGATGAGTAGAATACAAATGTGAACTAAAAAAGTTTTGACTTTGAAATTTAAAGTGAAGGTTAATTTTTCTAACTTCTGGGACAGGTTTCTTACATGTTTTACTATCAAACAGACTAGATGTAGAATTCACCTATGATAGCTAAAACCAAACATTTCTTATCTCCCTGTACATACATATTATAATATATAAATATATATCTGATATTTCTTTTCATCCTATACAATCTTCGCGTTCATTTAATATTACAACAACCAAAATGCGTTAATACGATCACTTTCAGATTTTCTTTTTCTACAATTGCAGAAAGTTATTTGACGAAAGTGTCTCGAGGAACGTAGACATTAATTACGTACGCAAAGTTGCACGAACATCCGCAGTCTATCGACGCACATATTTGTTGCGACACTTTTTAATACTTTTAAAAATTTCAACGCAAAGTTTCATCTCTATTAACTCTTTAAGTACTGATTTATTTGAAAAAATTTTTTACATATGAAACAGATTTAACTTGTTGGTGCATGAAGTAGTAATGTAAAAAACAGTAGATTTTATGTATGAATTCATTTATCTCAGTGGTATACATAGCATTGAGAGAACTTCGGGTAATTAGAATTGCAAAACAAAAATAAATAAATGAAAGAAGAAAAATGAAAATAAATAAATTCAAGGTATAACAAAAAGCAATATATATATATATATTATATTATATAAATTATATAATTATAAATATATATATTAAATATATATTTATAAATATATATTATTATTGTCTTCATCATCTTCACTTTGTAATTCACTGTAATCGTCAATTATAGGATTACTGAAACATTCTTCATCAGATTCCTGAAAATCACTTCTTTTATTAAAACTTTCATCACTTTCGTAAAATATATTCCTTATTTCTAACATTATGGGGCAGTGTGTCACAAACAAGGTTCACCGAAATACTGGAATTGTTTCTTCCGTTGCAATTGATATTAACTGATCTTAAATGAACAAGAATGTTAAATATTGTCTCAATTCGAATGACGAGTTACACTCGTCATCTTGCACTTAAGCAAAACAAGTGTTAAGCAAAACTGTCGTCGACTATTGGGGACAGTTCTTGCAAAATCCCTCGATTTCAGGCCTCGAATGTGTTGAATTGAAACCTCGAGTCTCGAAACGACGTGAATCGCGTACAGAGCAAGATAGTGGCTCCCTCGTCTCTCGTATCCAATTAACGATTGTTTTTCGATAAAACTCGTAAATCAAACCGTAGAACCGGGTGCGCCGGTTATGTTTCGAGCGATAAAGTAGCCGCCGGACGTAAATTGCAACGTGACCTTCGCCGTGGCCGCCTTGCTGCCTTGCTAGATGCAACTTACAGGATGAAATATATAACTTTTGCCCGCCGGAACAGGTAACTCTAAATCGTCAAAGAGCGCCCCGGTTTGCACGCCAAAGGGTCGGCCGTTTATTAGAAGAGAAAAAGACAGAGAAAAGAAAAGCAGAGAGAGGAAGGAAAAAGAAGAGGAAAAATTTCCACCATCGCGTGTTTCAATCTTCACGCGAACATATGTACACGTATTTCATTATCAAACTCGCGTTTTGTCCGAAACATTTTCCAAAGATACCGCGTCGTGTATATACCGCTCATTCCTGATCTTTGATAATTCTAAAGGACCATTTATGAATTGCGATTGAATTCATCTTGACAGCTGCTTTCACATGACAAAAAAAAAAAAAAAAATTAAAGGTCACTTTAATTTCGTGAAAAATATTGCAAACATAAAAAATTATTACTGCTGTGTTGGCCGTAGTGAAAAAACCGTACAACTTTGTCCTCTGCCATTTTTTCCTCGTTTACCATTTCCGGGACAAAACTAACTCTGTATGAAGCTAACCAAAGTAATTTTCTCTTAAACTACTCGCTATAGAAAAAGATGTTTCAAATAAAGCTTATGTAGTTTCGAGAGAGACATCTTATGGTGATCAGGAATCTTGTCTAGATGATCATGCTTCGGAGATTTCAAGATGATCTTTATTTTAAACAAAGCCACTATTAAATCTTAGGAGTCCCCCTCGAGACAAATGTTTCAAACAAAATTCAAGTTGGATTCGAAACATTTTTCTCTACAGCAATTTCGTGATTAGCTTTCGTATGGGATCACCCGTATATATATGTATATACGTGCATTTCGATCGATCGCAGGGCAAACAGAAAAAATGTCCTCCCCAGGGTACGAACGTTTCAACGTTATAAACGTTCGCTGTCGGAACATCGAGGCACGCAATCGAGTAGCCAGAATTGAAATCGTGCACTCGTCCACTGGACAGTCGAATAGACTTCGCCTGAAATTTGAACGTCGATCAACGCGCGTCGGAAACAGCGTTTCGAAAAACGCCGCCGTCGGCTATTTTTCAAAAATCCGTCGGATTTTCACGCGGCCGTGTGACAGATAGGACAGACGGATCTTACAGACGTCCGTGGTGACGCGGGTTCGGTCGTGTGTGATCCGCGCGGTGCCTCGACGTCGAAGACACATCGGGCACGCTCGACCGCGATCGATAACGATGGGCAACGACTGGTCTGTCGAGCAGGTGGTAGGAAAATGGTTCAACTCGTTGGATATTCGGACGGAGGAGCTGGTCTGGGCACGAGGCACCAAGGACATACCGATCTCGGCGTGCTCGCTACCCTGCCAGCCAGGTATGATAAAGAAGCAACAGGGTGACACTTGTTGCTGGGTGTGCGACCAGTGCGAGGAGTACGAGTACGTCTACGACGAGTACACCTGCGTGGATTGTGGCCCGGGAAAATGGCCGCACGACGACAAGAGGGGCTGCTACGAGCTCCCAATCAATCACATCAGGTGGGACAGCGCGTTCGCGATCGCCCCGGCGGTGATCTCGTGCCTTGGAATTGTGGCCACTCTCGCGGTCGCGTGTCTACTGTTCCACCATAGAGACACGCCGGTGGTCAGGGCCTCGGGACGCGAGCTGACGATCATTCTGCTGGCCGGAGTGCTCGTCTGTTACTTGAACACGTTCCTGCTGCTGGCAACACCCACCACCGTCACCTGCATCCTGCAGAGATTCGGCGTTGGGGTGAGTTTCAGCGCGGTTTACGGGGCACTGTTGACCAAGACGAACCGGATCGCCAGGATCTTCGACTCTGCCTCGAGGACGGCTGTTAGGCCAAGGTATATCAGTCCTGCGTCTCAAGTCTGCATCGCGGCCGCCCTGATCGCGTTGCAGGTGAGAGAAAGAGACGTGCTGCATGCTCTCTATGTTTGTCGGCCTGTTGATTTCGATTATCACCGATTAACACGTTCATTGCGACGATAACGAACGGTCTTTTCTTGTCGCGCGATATTTCACCAACACATTGGACACATTGCCAGCAAACGCTCACCTTCGACTTTTAATTATATACTACTTTTTTTCCAAAGAGCAGTTTCAAAAGAGTACTCTTCTTTGGCGTTACTTTTCCTACATTATTTATCTGTGCATTTATCTGTTTCGAGAATATAATTTTATATAATTTCTTTCGAAATGATAAAATTAAAATTATATCATATATATTTTAATAAATTACTACATAATATAATTTTAATTTTGCCACTTAAGCAAACTTTATGAGTTACTATATTATATTTATAATAATATATTATTATTATAGATAATTATAACATGTTGTGATAAAACATTAAGTTTACTTAATTAAAATTAATGAGACTAAAAATCATTTACTGCATCCTATAAAAAGTATGTGCCTTAGTAAATATATTTCTTACTTGACATAATTCCGATATCCTATTTATCTGAATTGAAAAAGCTAAAGAAATTCTTTGTCATCATGAGCATCGATGTGATTACGGTACAAACAAGAATATGACATAAAAAATGCTGGTTGAAGTTTGAATGTCAAGTCTCTTCAATCTTTTTTTTTTTTTGTTTTCCACAAACTGAATAAGTAAAAACAGAAAAAATACATTGTCAATCATTCTGTGGTTCATGCGATAGCGTGATCCTTCTATACAGAAGATGTATGCAAAATTTAGAGTCAACCGGTCAACTGGAACTTGAGATATCGTATATCAGAAAATGTGATTCTAAGAGAAACGAGCTTACATATGACAGATTGCGTACTGTCTTCTTTAAGCCTTTATAACTTCGTCAATTTAAAGAATTAGAAAATATCTTTTTACTGGTGTAATTCTGAGAAACTATATTTTCAAAAAAAAAAAAGGATAAAATATGTAAATATATAAAAAAATATATAAAAAATATGAAAAAACAATTTTTAAGAAGTTAAAAACTAGGCACATTAAATTACGTAACAATCATTGAATCTTTCTTCTTTTCTCTGTTTCTATCAAATATGAAAACGAAAGTAATATTTTCATACAAAATTTGCCTCTGTATCGCAAAATTTTATACATTTATTTCATATAAATCGTTTCATGTAAATCGTTAAATTAAATTTACAATGAAAATAGTAAGGATAAAGAAATGAAAGACATAGGATAATAATACATAATTACACGACGAAACAACATACAAATTTTTAATTAACAGTCACAACGAAGATATTATACACGTGTATGAAAATGTTTTAGAGCAACTTTTCCAAATTGATTTCACCAAATAAATATTTTCTATGTGTATGTTTATTTTGTATACATATATTGTCTCAAATTTTTATATGTAATATTATATACGAAGAGAAAGATTGAAAATATATTTTAACATATTTTTATTATTTATTTTTTTTTTTCAATTCATCCCGCTGATCTCCTTTTCATATCGTGTGCGATGAACGTGTTAATGTTTCTCATTGATTTTTATGCCATTGACACATATTGCCAAAATCATATATTAAATACAGTTTAATGTTTGTGTGAACTTCGTTTATACAAAATTCTAGTAGTGCCTGATTATCTGAATTCTAGCTGTGCTCCTATTGCAATACATGAATTATCTCTGTGCATCAATCCATTTACAGCTTAATATTCGACCTTATTATTCGACAATAAGTCTGGATTTATTTTAAAACTCGAAGCCTCTTACTTTCAAAATTCATTCGTTCGTTTTATTGTAAAATGTCTCAAGTGAAGATGCTTTTCTTCCCGAAGAAATATAGCTATAGATCGCCATAGTGAGTAAAAATTGAAAAAATTCCATTTTACAACGATTTCTAAAAACTTGACGTACGATTTTTGTTTCGTCGGTTTGTTAAACTTTGAATATTAGACGCTCAGACGATAAGAATTCGAGAAATCATTTGTAACATTTTCGTCGTTACATTCGTTTTCGCCTGATATTCAAAGTTTAATAAAATAATCATATCACGTAGATCATGTTTCAGTTCACTAAAATAAAATGACGAAAATTGTACCATTGGATGCAAGATAGGCCTCAGTGACGAAAAATAGCTTCGAAAGAAATGCTTTTGAGAAATGAAACATTTAACGAAATTATTGCAAGACTGTCCATAATATTAAAAACTTTAATATTTTTTTCTTAATAGTTCCATCAACACAATCTGAGTAATGTAGTACATTAATAAATGAAAAATAAGCTCGCTAAGAACGGTAATAATATAATTATTATATACATACGTACGTGGTATATCTAAAAGGTAATGAAATTGATTTTGTAAAAATGTTTATATACCATTTAATGAAAAATATATATGTTATCTCTTTCAAAACAGTTCCTTTGAAAAGCTATATATCACCGGAAGCGATGTTCTTTTTCCTGAAAACATTGCTGAAATTCTTCTACCGACACTGCTTTTGGTTGATCTATTATAGTCTTTCAGATGTTGTTCATGATTCTAATATCTTCTGACTTGGGGGGGGGGGGGGGGGGGGGAATC